CCGCTTCCATCTCATACTCCTTACTCCCAGTATTGACAACAGTGACTATAATCTCGTTATTAAGCTCCTCAAGTGTGATGAGAAACGACATTGATTTTAACGCCATTCCAGACCTCGAGCGAATCTTAAGAAAAAACGATGCATCATCCAAAATTTTACAAGATTTCTTGCAGGATGATGGAAAGAACACAATACTTTCCTTCCTCCTTCTCCTTTTTGCGTCGTTCTTCACTTTCCTTCAATTTTGAATTTTGCTGTTGCTGGCGACCCTTGAGACAAATTTTAAAGCCACGCCGGTTCTTATGCCCAGTGATTAGAGGGTATCGTACACGGGAATAGACTAGGTCTGAACCAGCAGAGAACTCCAGGCCAATTTTGGGAATAAAGGCGTCATTGTGCACCTTGTAAAAACCCATATAGTAATCGTTTTTTTTGCTTTATTGTGATTATTTGTGTTGTCAGTTCTTATCAAAAAGACCAAGTGAAAGTTGCTAGAAAATAATAACCTCTCTCTCTCTCTCATTGTATTTTAAACATGACTGGTATTCTTTAAAAGAGTTTACCTCCCACCTTTTTTTTTTTTTCATTTTCTCTTATACTAATATATTAAAGAAAACGAATAACTTTGCTTGAATTATCATATGGATAACGAAACTATTAGCGATAAAAATTGCGAAGGTTTATTTCCTGTTAATGAATGGATAATAATTATAAAAGTCGTCTGTATTTTTCATCTTATTTAAATTGTATACCATAATAAATTTGAAGTGTTTTTTATTATTAATTAATTCAAAGGCAAACTGACTTATGAGTCTCTCGTATTTCACCCAGTTGCCACCAGCTGCCCCACAACCTATCTCATAGGGGAATACGATAGTATCGATATCTCTATGTACACTTATTAAATCGTCGAGTAGACGATCCAGACAAGCTTTAAAATATGCTTCACGATATAACTTACTATCGTTTATAACAATATGACCATCCATATATTCATCCCTTATAGCATATCTGTTTCCGATAAAGAGATTAGCAACACAAGGGACACCTTTACAAAATTCGATGGTTCCAGGATATCCTCTTGTATCTATACTAGTAATGTTACAAATATTTGCCTTTCTATATTTAGGGTCAAAAACATCCCCCTCATCGAGATCATAGGCTATTACAATACTCATACCTCTTGTATGTACTACTTGCAACGTTTATTACTATAATTGGTAGTTTAGAGTTTGGAATTGATATATCTAATGTCTATACATCTACATGCTTGTTTAACTATAAACATATGTATTTATAACCCGCATGTATTATCATTTATTTTCATAAATTATTTCTATTGCAACCCACCAGTTGAATTTGTTTCAGAGCGATATTATTAATTAATCTTATTATGTTTTTATCTTAAAAAAAAAATAACAACCGTCAAACATATTTTCATTTAAAGAGGTAAAAATAATATTTAGCAACATAAACATGCGCGCGCCTAACGGAATGTAGCCTCTTGTGCGATATAGTGTAGCAAGCAAGTATCAGTAGCAACATATAATAATAATAATGCGATACATCAATGGATCTAAAACACATCATGAGAAATGATGTATTACTGACTAGCATTACTCTTCCTAATAAAGATGATGATTATAATGAATTGTATCTACAATATCTACAAACCTAATACAGTTATATATATACCATCCCGGAAGATGAATCTGAAATTCATTCTTTGACTGGACGACGATTGCAACGACATGGATAAGAAGATCGAAGATCGATGATAGATGATAGTAGAAAAAAAGAAGAAGAATAAGGACGAAAAATCAAATATCTTTTATATATTTAAATATATTTTATTTCAATAATATCTTATATGAAAATATTAATAAAATATTTACTACAACTAGATGCGTTTTCTTTTATTACCTATATTAAGAGATGGAGGGACTGGTGGATGATTGTGACCAGTCTTGGACCAAATAGATAACATTTTTTTTGAATATCATCCTTTCCTAGGAGGTGATTAATGACACCGATTATCGATTGGTGTTTTAACTCTGATAGAGGTAATCCTACTCTTGTTACATCGGACCTCTTTGCTAAAGCTTCCTCTATCTCCACAAAAGGGGGAAAACATCCACTGATCCATAATTTTTCGACTGGATTAAATGTTCTCGCAAGAGATTTTTTATGACACGAAGCTCTTCGTAGAGAAATACCCATTTCAGGTTCATAGACTGTTAGAACACCGCCTATTAAGATCATGCGAATAATTAATTTGTCGCATCGTACTGCAGCGTTCCATTGATCATAGATTAAAATTTTAATATCGTGATGATCAAGCGGTATCATCGTTCTCAAACTATCCATATGACTTATATAGAGATCTAGGACGGGGTTGTTATAACTATGCCTCTTCATCATTGTCGTCGTCGTTTTCGAGGGCTCGGCAAATGCTGTTGACGCATTCGCAATTATCGCAGAATGGCCAGCTTGTTGTTGCTGCTGTTGTTGTAGCGTTACATTTTTTATCAAATTTTCTTTCTCTGTCTGTAATATTTTCTTCGTGGTCATCATTGTAGTTATTGCCCTTTCATCGTCGTCATTCGTCATCTTCATCGCTGTCTTCTTCGTTGCTAAGTTTAGGTTTCCTCTTTGTATCTTTTTCGTATTTGAGTGGAGAGGCATTGAGGGAAAAGATGTGTAATCTTCTTTTTTGTTTTTCAAATTCAACCATGTGTCTCCAGAGGGGTTCGATAGTTCTTCTCTTGCTACCCGATATACTTTTCCTACCAGATTGCATTTTTCTATCCAGTTTTTCATCTTTGGAGGTTAATAAGGATTTATAGTGATTATCGATTAATATATCACTCTTTAAAGTTTCAAATTCCCGATATGAGACCCCAATTGTAGAGAGAGATGGTCGTCTTTGACTGTTTTTGAGTCTAGAATTTATGGCAACAAGATTGTTATGACTTATACACGATCCTATCTCGGCAAAAAATCCAACGAAGGCAGCTTCTTCGGCCAGTTCAGTCAGTAGTTTTTTTTCTGGTGCTTTATCGGGATCGTCAAACACATTAGATGCCAATAGATTTCTTTTAATAAACTTTAGTATATGCATGTATTCTGCATTTGCTGCCATAACTTTATATATATATTTATTATTAGCGGGTGGGAAGTTTATTGAAAAAATAGTTGAATAATACCTCTAATTGTATAAATACCCCCCACTGGTTACTCTCTAATTTCTTTTTTATATATATTGTAAAATTTTACCAATTACTCCATCTTCCAGATCAAATAGTGGACGTTGATCCATGATTGCTAATTGACTCTTATTCAAACCATATTTTTCTCCGTATATGTATAGAGTTTTTACTGACGATATATTTTTCTCGTCTAAAAACGACGTATATTCATCATTGTTATCATCATCATCATTGCTGTTATTATCATTATAGATTACAGTCGTTAAAACATCATCATTAGTAGTAGAAGATGACAATAACCAATATGCATTTATAAATATTCTTTTACGGTCATACTGATTATTAATAATATTGGGCTGAAGATTTGTGAATGCAAAATATTATTTTTATCGAAAAGAGAAGTGTGTCGTCGGTATTGCCTATTTTTGTCGTCATCGACAATACTACAATTCATAAAATTTAACCACCGTCTTTTTATAATACTCGTAGAAAAAATTAAAGCTCCGGCTGGCTTAATACTAAACGACGTACTAATTGCAGTGATGGTATCCATCAGGAGAGAATGTTATTACAGTTGATATGTTCTCTCTTTTATATAATACTTATAGTAATATTCCTAATAACTTGTATAGTAAAAGTATGGATGTCAATCTTTATCTGTAAAAAAAATAACTATATAACCCATAACGATTTTTCTAAATATGAAAACTCGGCTTAATACCGATAATCTTTCCAGTTATATAAGTAAGAAATATTCTAGCAATGATGATTATGATAACGACGACGATGATCTGTATGTTCACAAGATTTTTGAAGATCCCTTTTTATATTTTGCTGCTGTAAACGCAAAATTTTTCAAATATTATAATATTTTAAATAATAATTTTGATAAAGGAGAAGATAAAAAACCACATTCCTCCTCGTTACAACTTATGTTACCTTGTTACATACCGGTCAATAGTCTTTAATAAAAATTACAAACTCGACAAATCAGATATTGCAGCTTACTCAGGCACAAATGACAATACTGATAACCCTCCCAATACTTCTACTTCTTCTTCTCTTATTATTCCTCCGGCTACGGTTACTATCAATTGTACAACTCGCCCTCCCGTTGCGAGTGTCGTATTATACGGGTATCAGCAAAACGTTAGAGATGACCAAACGGAAATGTTAATGTGTGATTGTCGCGATCATCGGCAATTGTTAAACATACCTGTACCGATATCCTCAGATGATATTGTAATTAGTACCAGTCCTACACCTACATTAACTTTTCCGTTTCCAGGGTTAACTCCAGTAATTTCTGAACCATCGACCACAATATCGGCTTCGGGTGTAAAACACCCGATCATTGGTAGCACGCTCATTAACAGATCGGACAATTTACTGTTAGACCTTAACGGACCGTGTACTGGTCTTCCCGACGGGTCGTATTCCGTGGTTGAACGCACCGACGACGATAACCAAACTCATAACACGGGAGCTGTTGTAACAGACGACGCGTCGTCGTCAATCTTGCGAGAAGATCTCAACCTGTATCTGAATACTCATCCGGTGGAATTGCAAAACGGATGGAAGGGTGACGACCACCGCAATCGTCACGGTTATCTCGTGGGTGGAAACTGCGCTCCCGTTAGAATAAAATGTGTATCCGGTACGCTCTCAAATATAGAATAGACCACACTCAAATATATTCAGTTAGTATGAGTGTGAACATTAAAATTATGATATATAAATATATATATGTAAAGTAGTGTTCTTCTATCTCTTATTAATAAAAAAAACAAGATGCAGATATTTGTAAAAACACTTACGGGTAAATCGATCACCCTAGACGTCGAACCAGAGGATACAGTCTCGACCTTAAAAGAAAAGATTCAACTTGCAGAAGGAATACCTCCCGATCAACAACGGTTAATTTTTAGTGGTAAACAATTAGAAGATGGACGCACCCTTCAAGATTATAATATACAAAAAGAATCTAATATACATCTTGTATTGCGTTTACGCGGTGGTGAATAATAATTGAAAAATTTACTTGTTCAAGTAAATTGAAAAATGTTTCTTCAAGTAAACTTTATAAAATTTATAATTTCATGTCTCTGTTGACCATCTCTCATGTTTAGATATTTTTTATTGGATAATTGCCTATCCGCAGCAGCAACAGCAATACTACCATCATCACACCATTACCACCACCTGTTGTTAAAATTTCTTGGGTAGGTTCAAGAGAACTAACGACCATATTGTTACTACTACTATCGCTATTGATTTTATTATTGGAATAAAAAGTCTTACTGATTGTATTTTGTTTTATTTCTCTACGATTTAACATTTCTAACTGCCTATATTTTTGTTCATAACTTATATCACGTGTGTTATTCAAAACATTTTTAACTTGTTTATTTATTACCGATTTTATTCGTTTATTCGATTTTTTTTGTTTGGATTGCAAATCAATGTCAGAGGATAATGATGCAGTAGTAGTAGCAGCATCCTTTACTACACTTTGTATTCCTTTAAATATCAATTCTGGAGGAATTAGGATATTGTTTTCTTTTCTTGGCAGCTGACGTGACATTGGGTGGTTCAAAAGCATCTATTAAAGGTGACCGTGTATGACTCTTGGATCTGCAACACGGACACGTTTTAGTGAGTGTAGAGGAGGATGAGTTGCTGATAAAGTTCAGTGTAGCCGTTGATATGGAGTTTAATTGCTTAACATCTCTCAATATTTGAGCATACTCTATTTCGTGTCCAGGTTGACAGAGAATATCGCTTCGTTTTTGCACATCGCGTTCTAGGATCTTGATGCCGGAGACGAAGAGGGATGAAACGATATTAATAACCGCAATGAGATTTTTTAATATTCGGTTTCTGGAGAAAAACCGAAAAGAAAATAATCGTTATTGCTGTCTTCAAGCTTTGTGCTCTTATTGTACATGTCTCTTGCGGGTATACGAGAATTGTGTTTCGATAAATCTATATATTGTACCTGTGATTGTTGCAGTGGCGGTAATGATACAGAATGAATTGTATTTTGCATCATACAGTCGGTAAGTTTTTCAAATATGCTAGGAAATGAAGATGACCTCTTACCATTTCTCGATAAGATATTTTCAATCGTCTTAGAACCATGAGTGTTAGTTATCATGTGTCTTAAATGTGTTTTGATGGTATCTTTCTGTAAAATGGTAATTGTGCTATTCAGTTGAAATATCGCTAAACTCTACATCTAAATAATGGTCGTCTTCAACTTTATTTTCTCTATCGTTACCGACACCAACACCACCACCATCACTGTCATCGCCGTCACCACCACCACACTCACGGTTTAACAATAAAAGATAACCTTTATCATTACCATTACTAGTAGACTCGATATTTAATTGATTTGTGTTTTCTGTCATTGTTTATTACTCTTATATTTGAAGTATTTAGTGTTTATAGAAGTGAGATGTTATATAAAATATACACACATATACATATATACATATATATGTATATATATATATATATATATATATATATATATATCTTTTTTTTTTATCATTTCATTGTTTGATAAATAAGAATAATGTTATCCATTAACAATAACAACATTATTGGTAGTAGTGATGGTAGTGGTAACAACCATAGTAAATGTAATAATCCTAATGGTGATATAGTCGACATTAATACCGCTGATAGTAATCTTATTAATGCTAATGTTAATAATAATATTAAAGATTCACGTGATAATCCTAATAGTGCTATTATCAGAACTAATACAACTGTTAGTAATTTAACTACTGCTAATACTACTAAAAATATTATTACTAATAATATTAAAGATCCACCTAGTACATTTGATAATCCTAATAGTGCTATTATCGGTACTAATACAGCTGTTAGTAATTCAGCTACTGCTAATACTACTAAAACTCCACCTCACAGCGACATTGAATCAATATTCATACAGAATATTGGAAAACTTTTTGGAAAAGCTATGATCACTTATATAATGACCAAAATGGAAACGACCTATAGTGAAGAAGAAGACGACGACGATGGTGAAGATGATATTGATGATCAATTTCGATCTAGGTACAAATTAATCAATAGAGCCATAAAAGCATTGGCGACCTTTATCATAAACACCTCACCTGAATCTGAAAGAAGTCTTCTCGATTTGTATCGTGCTGAAAAGGCAAAGCTCACACGAATGGTGACAGACTTGGCTGTTAAAAAAATATGGATATCCATTTCAAAGAGCAATAATACGGCACGCTTCTGCTGGTGACTCCAATACCATATCCTTCTTGGAGCAAGAAATAAAGAATCGAAACCCAAAAATGACAACGCATGAAGCTATGAAAATCGTAGCAAACTTTAAAAACGACTTGATCAATATATTTTGTTTACCGATTATAGAAATTATTGCAAAACTCTCTAATGATGCGAATGTGAGACTCGATATGTATATGGTTATAGTAGCGTTTGTCGAAAGGGAATATTCAACTTGTTACACGAATCATAAAGACTTTTTCAGAGATCAATTTTGCCAACCTAGTTTATGATTTAAATTTGTACTATCAAAAAGAAACAGAGATGAAAAAATAACGATATCGGAAAAAGATCTCGAGTTTATAAAGAGTAAGCATCTACCCATTCCTGATGGGACTTCCCTCCAACTTGCATCAAATATTTATTTCAAAATGATCCGCTTTTAGGGACTACCGGTAAATATCGATTCCATTTATAGAATTGCCACATTTTTAGCATCTGTAAAATCAATTGAAGATAAGAGTATTATATGTCAAGGTACCTTTGAGTATATCATTTTCTTACTACGACAGTGTTTAACCAATGAAGCGTTAACAAGTTGTAATAACAATTACTCTCAGAACCTGCAAGACTTGGGTGATTATCACAGTTCGTTTATCGACAGTTTTGTGGAATTTGAAAGGCGTTTTAAAAAGAGAATTAACAAACGAAAATGGAGATCTAATAATAATAATAATAAATAGAAAAGATGACAGCAATGACGAAGATGACGNAAACCTTGGATCGATCGAGTTCTCGGTCCCATGCTCTGATAAAAACCTTGGATCCGCCTGTTGTTTGGGCGGACGATGGTCCGTGTTGCTGTTGTTGTGATATGTTATCCGTTAGTTGGGTTTGTGATTTTCTTTTCACGTCTATTTTCCTCATAGAAGAAACATTGTTTCGTTTTGGCGATAGTACGTGTTGTCTGTTTCGTTTTTTTTTTAATAAAAACTTTGGGAACTTGCAATTTGCTATATCGTTGTGATACATCATTTGTTGTTTGTGTTTGTCTTTCTAGAATTGGTGAGGAAGCATTACCCCTTATTTCAAAATTATAAGTTTCTTTCCTCATTCCAAAGGGATGGGAAAAAGAAGCTATTCAATTGTAATCTCTTTAATTTTTTAACATATATATCTTATGATTTTTTCTTAACAGTATATAAAAAAATGTATGGTTATTATTTATTTACATTCAATTTCATTTACAATTATTATTTGTTTATACTTGTTATAAACTTTAGCTTGATACTTATAATTGATTATAAATATCTATAAAGTATTTTATACTTGTGGGTTTCATGTTGTGTTTGATCAGGGTCTAATTCTATTCTTATTCTATAAGAAAATAGACGATCTATATCTCTTTTAAAATTTACAACAATCCTCTGCGAAGGACCATATTCCCTAAGACTCATCATATTGTTCATAATATCTAAAATTTCGACCATCATTTTCTTTACAGTCCATGGTTGTCTATATATAAATGTATCTATATTTGGCTCTATATTCTGTACTTGATACATATTAGAAGAAGTAGAATATACATACACTGTTGATACCAATTTGTTATTATCATAGGACACAACATCTCTAAATGAAATAAAGATACTGTGTTCATCTCTCGTGTCTCTTAGTATCTTATCCAAGTCTTGAATTTTAGATAATACACTTTTTTCAAAAAATGTTCGTTCACATATATTCTTATTCAAATTGTTTTCAACTTCTGACACTTCTAACGCTAATGCGTCTGGGTAATATTGCTGTTGATGATTATCATAGTTATGATAATCTTCTTGTTTGTTGCTGTTGTTGCAGCTGTAAAACAGCTTCTCCTTCAGTGGTGATTTGAGATCCATGTTGTTGTTGTGGTGGTGGCAATGTTAGGTGACGGTCTATATTTTCCAAGATTGGGAGTTCACTATAGTGTTGTTGTTGAATAATCTCTCGTTATCGTTTTGAATTGTATTAAATCCTGTCGTTTTGACGATAACTGATCTGTAATCTGTTGCTGTTGTTGCGGCTGCTGTTGCAATTGTAACATGGTATATTCGTGGTCTGTCCAAACTAAATCTTGAGATCTGGATCTCATATCATAGATTTGTTCTGGTTGTTGTTGATCCTGTTGTTGATATTCCTGTTCTTCTTTATGTTCTTGTTCTTCTTTATATTCTTGCTGATCCTGTAGTTCTTGTTGATCCTGTTGTTGATATTCTTGTTGCTCTTGTTGTTGTTCTTGCTGTAACGTATCTGTTTTTGGGGTATCATTATTAAATTTCATCTTCATCATCATCGTCCTTTTCATTAATAAATTCATCTTCATCGTCATCGTCCTTTTTCAAGACTTGGAAATCGCCCATGCTTTTTTTTCTTGATTGAGTATCGTAGATGGCTTATTTTCCTCTTGTTTCTCGTCATCTCCTCCAATCTTGGCTTTCTCTTCCTTTTTTGTAGTTTGTAGTTTGAAATTTGTAGTGAGGCCTTTCTTAATCTCATGGTAAGGTGGTTCTTTGGGAAGAAGAGAAATATATGCTCTTAGCTCCAGTATTCGTTTAAATTTATATTTTTAGATTTATTTATTATATTTTCCTCCCACATAATAGGTGAAAGATGTAACGATATTGTTATTATTATTTATTTATACTCACCGTTTATAAGAATAAATTTCTTTTTTTTTAATTGTATATCTCTTTCTTGGTACGATCATGTTAACATATTATACATGTCATCCTCATCATTTCATATGGATTGACAATATTAGCACTTTTGCTGCATTTTTTTCTTCAGTATTTTTGCACATTTCTTCATTTCTTTTTTGCGTTTCTTTCATAATATTATTCTCGTTACATATATCCTCATTTTTTTTTATTTCATCATTTAACTCTTTTAGCTTCGTGTTATTTAGTTTTATTCTAACATTTAGCATCGTTATTGTGTCATTTAACATCGTTATTGTGTCACTTATTATTGTTATTATATCACTTATTATTATTATTGTGTCATTTATAGTCTCATTCAGAGTTGACGAGGATGGCGTGATGGTCTTGGTGGTCTTGTCGGTTAATGTAAGCAAGTTTTCATTATCATCATTCCTATTTTTGTTATTGATATCACCATCGTGATGGTGCTGTGATTTATTAGTTGTGCTCATTTTTATTTTATCTATATATAGATATTGTTATCAACCAGAGAGTTGTTTTTAGACCATTGTTTCTCTGGTTAACCCCGACAAGGACAAATATATTTATAAGGACAATTAAGTATATTTTTTTACTTTGATGGGTTTTAATAACCTGTTTGATAGGTTCTAATAGCTGTTCAGTTAAGCACATATACATTTTTGTATATTCTCTCCTTTGAGATTAGTAACGACGGATAAAGATAATGGGGTACTCGTCTATAGAAACACCCAACGATCTAAACTTCATGTCTAGCCTGCGTTTTCTTGAGATAGCAAATCAAGAAAAGACGATGAATCTTTTTCTATTTGGACAAGAAGACTTGTACATCCAGAAGAAGAATCTTTTTCTATTTGGACAAGAAGACTTGTACATCCAGAAGAAGAAATTGAAAATAAAAGGATATAATATTATTGCCCAGGCAAGAGGTTTCCTTACTAGAAATGAATCTAGCGACTATCAATCTACAAAAACGGAAAATCCGGAAATTAGATATTTTACAAGTGCTTGGGATTATGATACGTCTGACGACATTGTATTCAAGAAAAATGGAAGTGTGAGCAAGATCCGCGCTGTAAAATTTACACGAAGCGGCGGCATTTACAGATCTAGCGAAGCATACGATAAGAATTGCGAAATCATACAAATGAAGATGTATGATGGGTCACTGCACTGGATTTTAATGCCCAAAAATCTTCAGGAAGAAAAGATCTAATAAATTTGGTAAATTCCATAAACTGGTTAAATTTGCACTGCACATTCAGTGAAGATAAATCGAGTATTGTTCATATTCCCAAGTTTGTTATTGAAAAATCCTATATACCAAATCAAAATTATAAAAACAGTTGGCCTTTTATCGAGATTAACGAAGGAAAATCTGAAATAACGGAAGATGATTCCAAAGCAAGATGTTATTATCATCGATAAACCTTTCGTGTTTGTCAACTGTGACTGTGATGGATCAATACAAGAAATGGGAATGTTCTTGAATGTTAATGGTAATATTGATAATAATGATATTAATAAGCCATTTTTATTATTTATAACTGCCATAGGCTTTGTTACAGGATATTGGATACAAAATATTTATCTGAATATAAATTTTTGAACTACTGGTGCAAATTGTTATTCTTTAATAAAAGTTAATAACAACAAATTTGATCCATATCCTTTTGCTGGATTGTCGATGTAAATAAATTTTTGATACAAGTGAGCGAGCTTTTTTTTTATGTGAAGTATTGGTGCGAGTGAATGTCTTTATACTGATAAAGGTTAATAATAACAAATTTGATCGATATAGTTTTACTGGATTGTCAATGTTTACTGTCTTTCAATACAAGCGAGTTATGTGAGTTATACTGATACATGTTATTTATTGAAATAAAAACAACAAATTTAATCCATATTCTTTTATTGGTTATTAATACTAGCTTGTCACAAATGACCTCTGCATACACTGTGTGGCCGTGACAAGTTTATTATGCCTTTGTCTCAAACTTTCTAAAGCACAACATATTTCATGTATATAGTCTTGAATTTGTTTCTCCTTCATTTCCAAATCATGAATATGCTTCATCATCACCTCTTGTCGATTCTTCATCACTTCTAGTAATTTGCTATTGTGATTAGGACTGATACAAACATCATATTCCATGTCGTTAGACAATTCAAATTGAATTATTCGAGTGTCTGATTTGCCCTTGGAGTCTTCTTTGTTGGTCAGATGAGTGGGGTTGTTATTTTCTTTCTTCTCAGTAAGATCTATTATATTGAGATTAGGACATTTGACACTAGAGTACGACATCCTTATATAGATAGAACCTTAAAGGCGAATATGATAGTTGATAGCTTTGGTAGACGCTGTTGATGATGCTGATATTATAAAGCGTTTGCTCTGTATCTCATTCAACAGGATATGTACTCTCCTACAATGTTACGTTTTTTGCTTACACCCCCTCCTAAGAGAAGAATTTTTGTTGGTAGAGTCCGTAAGATGACCTTTCTCGTTCAACGGGATATATATATATATATATATATATATATATATATATATGTATATATATATATATATATATATATATATATATATATATATATATATATATATATATATATATATATATATATATCATATATATATATATATAGGGGTATACTATTATGTTTTTACACTTAATCATCTTGGTGAAAATTGGAGGCAGGAAGAGAGATATATCGAGATATTTTTGTGGCTCATTATCGATTATCAAAGTTAGACAAGAATAATATTCTTTAGTCAAGGGAAGGGAGGGGGGTGGGGGGTTATGGTAATATAAGTATAGAAATATACAAGTATGATGTCTAGAATAGTAAACATATCAATATAAGAATGTATAATAACCTAAAATCACTTAGTTATAAACCCAATATAATAAAATGGACTCTCCTCGGGATATACCAAAATATAAGAAAAAAAAATAACAATGA